GGTCGATTTCTGCACAGTGGAGAAAAAACTTCATGAGAGGCACGGAGGCTGGATTGCACAACCCTTCACTCCATCATTCTTATCTGTGCATTTCCGTGTTACTCCTTCCTCCCCCCTGGTACCTCCACCACGGTGATTTCCACTGCATCACAGACACAGGCCTGCAAACAGGGGTGGTGGTGTCAAGGTTACAGTGAGCTAGGGTTGCATGACTGCACGTAAGCCTGAGCAATAGAACGTGACCCTATCTCAAAAGAGAACAAATATCAGCCACTTGTAGATTCCCTCCAGTTATTTCTCTAGCCCACACTCTATTTGTGCAAGTACTGAAGCTGTGCTTTTAACAATCTGTGCGTCTTCTGGGAAGGACGTCCATGGCCCTTGATGATTGCGATGCATGTGCATCCCACACATACGGGGTTTACTGTTCTCTTGTTATTTCCCTCTCTCTTTCAACAAGTATTATTTCTCACTGGAGTGAATTACTTTACTGTTACATCCTTGTATCTTGTTTTCACAGTTTCAGAGTTGAAAATGAAGGCAGGGCAGTGTTCCAGAAGAACCCAACATCTTCTTTCAGTAACATCTAACTGGCCCCATACATGCCAGGGATTAGGGTAAAAGTCTTACATACATTAACTGTTCTATCCATGCGAACCTCCTACAAAGAAGAAATTTCTAGTAATCCTCTTTGGATGGGGGAAACTGAGATAGAGAACATTTAAGTAACAGATCTAAGATTGCACTACTAGTAAGAGGCAAAATCAGGACAGAGATCCAGGTAGCCTGGCTCCTGATGCCTAACTCATAACTATGCCCCCGCCCCTATTTCCTCAGGAATAAGAGGCCTGACTGTGGTAGAGTGGGAATGAGGAGGCCCGAGTTTGCCCTTGGTCTCGAACCTCCTGCATCATGAGAATCTGTTATAGAAGGAGAGGCCGTACCTGGCCCTGCCTGTCTCATCCACTCTCAATCTCCGTGGCAGACACCACATACATGGCCTGTGTACTTGTCTGGTCATTCTTGAGTGACAATTAGAGGGACACGGATCCTCCCTTTTGTGTGAGTACTCCATGGTCCAAGGATGGTGCGTGGTAGAGGAAGAGGGAGAATATTTACTTAGGAGGTGGTCTCATGTGAGTGATGTGGAAATGTCTACTTGGCAGCATGGAGACACCAAGCAGGTGAAGGTCCTGGTGCAGTTCCTGCACTGTGGGCCAGTCATACGGCCTACGGGAGGAGGACACTCAGTGGGTTTGGGCTGTGGCTCTTTATCAAGGAGCATAGAATTTTCAAGGAATGGATAACTTATAGCCACAGGTCAGTCACTGTGGCTCAGTTTCCATCTGGGAACACGGGCAGAGCGTCTCACTTCTGAAGGTCAGGAGGAGCTGAAGCAACCCCACAGGGATGAGGGTTATAGCAGCACCAGAAAGGCTTCTGTCTGCCCTGAGGAAAAGGGCGAAGGAATTTCTATGTGTGTCCTGTCTGTGCCCCACAAGGGAGGGTTTTGCACAATCTGCTGTGTGCTTTACCCTCAGCAATGACCCACAGCTGCAGGGGTATTCCCACACAGGAGTGAATGAGGACTCAGACATCACCTTCCATTTCTGAGTGTATCTTGGCCATTGTGTGGTCATGAACATTCAGTGCCTATAGAAGCATACAGGGCTACGATTTCATTTGCTTTATAAACAAATCCTGGCATAAACTGCTCTACACATTACACATTACAAGTTGATTTGTTCTTAAAGAATATATCTTGAGGACATCACCTAACCATGGTGGTGTCTCAGTTTTTAAAGACTGCATACTATCTCAATAGGAGTACCCAAAATTATTGAACTTGACCTTTTTGATGTGCATTTAGGTTGTTTCCAATGTTTTGCTCTCACAAATAATGCCACATTAAGCTCTCTAATCAACCCTTTTGTCATTACCAACCTTCTGATACTTATATTGGAAGATAATTACAAAGAAATGGAATAACTGGGTCGAAAATGTGTGCATGTAAAATCTGATATATTAACACCTATAAGGTAACTTTCTCTATAGACCTCAGTAGTAAAGAATATGTTCAAACTTTCTGGCCTTCCCTAATGTTTATGCCCAAAGATTTACATTTTATTCATATTTGGGAATCTTTTTATATGCTAATCAGCTATTAAAAATAATATCGTATGTTTTGCAACACTTGTCCTGTTTTAACTCTCTAGGAACACGAGTTTCATTCTTGGCCACCACCAGCTCACATCTCAGAGACTGTAAAGAGAAACTAGGACACTGGCAGTGAATGGCAGTCATAGTTCACGGAACTGAAATATAGGCATTACATGACCGAACCGATGTGAAATTCTACCATGTTCTGAATGTGTCCAATCCTTTTATCCAACTTGAAACTGAGCGAATAATCACAGATCAATTTGGGACCCACGGGGAGGCTGCCAAGGGCTCTTCATTACTTTACTTCCTTATGACCCTGGGTAAACTTTTAAGCAAACTGAAAATCTGACCATGTTTCCTTTGCACATCTAGTTAAAAGCCAGATAAAGTTTCCCAAGAAATCCATGGTGCAGACATAAATGATTTCATAACTCACTGTTGGAATCTTGCAAATTCTATTTCTATCACATCACTGTTAAGGAGAGAAGTTATAGAAAAGACATTTTTTTATTAAGAAAACAGCAAGACACTCAGAGTAGATACAAAACTGCCTGTCCTGGGTGAACTGGCAGGAAATAAAAAATTTTCAATTCATGGCTGTTTTATTCAAGTAGAGCCATAGGACTTTCCCACAGGTGTCAGAAAGGCTGTGATAGAAAGAGAAGGGTAAGGGCGTGCATGCAGGTTTCTGGACTGAGAGGTGATTTGGAATGTGAATAACTGAGTGAGTAGCAGGGTGGGAGGGAATGTGTCAGCTGAGCACGGCTGAGTGGGAGTCACACTCTACAATGAAGAGAGTGGGGCACTCGTGGGGGCTCCCTTCCACCTACCTGAAGTCCAAAGCTCACAGGTCCCTCCACTCAACCAGAAAAAACAAAAATAAAACTCCTATGCTGTCTCCTTCTCAGGTTAGGCATGAGGAATATGCAACTTTGTTTCAGGAAAGGTTGAGACCCAGACTTAAAAAAAGCTAACTTGTTCAAGTAAAAAGTGCTCATGGATGACCATACCCTGCTCCCACCCTCCCTGCAGACTGAGAAAGGAAAAAGCCATTTCACAGAGGAGAAGCTGCAGGCTCCAATAGTGCCCAGGGCAGTCACTGCTTTGCAGAGTGTGAACCCTGGCTGGAGAAGGATGCAAGGTGAAGTCTTTGATCAGGGCACACAGTAACAGCTCTCCCTGATGGTTTTCCTTGCGGGGCCCATTCTTCTCCCCCCACTAACATGGGGTTATGACACCTCCATTGCCATCCCCTGCAGTGCCTACCACTGTAACCTATCCCATGTCAGAGCCTGGACCCTGATCTCAGAAGACCCCTCCTGACCCAACAGTCCATTCCTAAGAGTGACTTTTCTCCTTGGAATGTCTGCTTTTGGGTGGACTCTGGGCAGCCCCATCTGTCAGAGGTCCTCTAAAGATTCGAATCCTTAGTGTGTCATGATTCTTGCCTTCTCAGTAAGTCTCTGTTTGCCTTATGAACAATTTCTTGCATTCACAGTCAGAAAGGGAGAGATTTGTTTTAAATTTCAGGGAGCCTATGATATGTCTTGGAATTTTCCATGAAGAAAAAAATGATCAGCATGAGGGGACTGGGACAATTTTGTGTAGAAAGCAATGTTTGCAATTGTCCCAAGCTGGGACCCTCCCAATGTCCATCAACAGTAAAACTGGTATGTATGTGTTGATCTATTTATAAAACTTCAGAGTATACAGCAGTGAAAATGAAGTAACTACAGCTGCACACAGCAATACAGATGAATCCTAAAAACAGAAATGTCAACTAAAGATGCATGACCCAGAAGGAGCCCTCCTGGAAAATCACCTACAAGCAACATTCAACAAAGTGATGAAACTAAAAGAAAAGCAAAGAGGAAAGGCAGAAGCAGGGTTGCCCATGGGGGCAAGAAGGTTACACGGCAAGGAAGCGACAGATAGGAAACAACGGGTGTCACCAACAGGCCATGCCTAATATTGAAGTGCTATTTTAATAATTCCTCATCAAAATACAGATTGTTTGGTAACTTGGATCAACTTTTGGAAAACACTTTCAATTTACAGTCAATAAAGCTGAAGAGGAAAACAAAGAAAGAGAGGGAACAAATGGAAGGAGAGGAATTCTAACACATTCCTTCTTCAAATTCTAATACAGGTTTTCGAGATGTTTTCTATTATCAGAGAAAGAGAACTTGAGGAAGGTTCCTGAGTCTTCCACCTCGGGTGAAGACTTCACTATGGCTGAAGTCCAATCACCTGCGCCTGCGCCTGTCCTCACATGGGTCTGGAGCTACGGAGCACACAACTCAAGGACTAGACTTAAGAATCTCGCCTGTCTCCTTGAATCTGCAGAAGCAGGAGCTCTTGAGATTTCAATGCACATGGACACCAAAAGAGAAAGGAGATGGTGTGGCTGGAGCCCAGGTGTGTGAGAGTGGTCACCACTCACCAGAGCCAAGGGGCCTGGCGTGGGCTCATGAGGACACAAGGACTTTCTCCACCTCTCCCCCATGTTTCTGCTGAGGATCAAAGTCAGTGCTCTCTCAGAGACTCTGGAGCAGAGAACAGGATTACATTCGAGGGCCAAAGCCTTTTCCACAATCCCCACCTGTTTCTCATTGCACAAGTTAGAAAAATGCACACCTGCCAGGTGGATTCTGCACAGTGGAGAAAATGCTTCATGACAGGCATGGAGGATGAACATCAAAACCTCTCATTGCATCATCCTTATCTGTGCATTTCCCTGGTGATCCCTTTTTCTCCCCTGATACCTCCCTCCCTGTCTGTCATAGGCCTGCAAACAGGTGTGGTTTTGACTCAGCTTCTTTCTAACATCTTACATCCTATCCCACAGGGAAACCTTGCTGGGAGGGGCTTGGAAACAGGAATGAAGCCAGAGGGCAGGGCTGCCAGGGACCATTTAAATGCTGCAACTCCAAGAGATTCACACAGAAGACTGGACCCAATTTGGAACAGCCACCCAGAGGGAGACAACAATGTCACCACTAACTGTGAGTTGAAAAGGCACAACCTTCAATAATCTCAAGTCACAGAAAAAAGGAAAGAGGGAGATTTTATGAGATACAAATATGAGCATTTCTACCGTGAGTTGCAAGCTTGTGAATGAGATAACCTACGGCTCTGATGTCTGAGATGCTTGTGGTTGTGGGGTGTGGACCCTGGGCCACTGTAACCCTCTGTGACCAAGTGATGGTTTCTGATGAGAATGGTGTCTGTTGAGATTATACGACTTTAGGTGGGAGGCGGATGGCCCATCAGGACATGCGGGTATGTGCCTGAGTGTAAGGGGGTGACTATGCTTTGTCATAGTAACTGTGATGTGACTGTGTGAGCACAGCCAGATCAGCGTGTGAGCATCTTTATATGCACAGCAAGTGGGCATGTGTGACTCTGAGTGGTGCGGCTCCGTGTGACCCTGGGTGTATGTGCTGGGATGTGACTGGGTGTTGAACTGGAAACATGCATGTGAACTTCTGTGCATGTGAAGGTTTCTCCGCACACAGCAGCACCTCTGATGAAGCAGCTGTGCCTCTTCCCATGTATGTCAATGTGGATCCCAGGGGGCAGAAATGGTGGGGATTTTGGGGACTATGAGTTACCAAGGACTGGTCTCTGAGCATTCACGAGAGCAGAATGCACAAATTCTTGGGAGCCTCTTCTCATGCAGAGTCGGGGAGAGGGAGGCAGGCTTTGCTGGCGTGCATCTGCAGGTGGAATCTGCACACAGTGACCACTGGCTCCTGCCTCCAGCCTCAGGTCTCTCCCTGTCCCACATCTTAGCCTGTCCTTCACACTGAGCACCAGAATGGTGGGCAGGTTTTGATTCACTAGGTAAGAGCATTGGGGGACTTGGTTTCAGATATGGAATCACCCAAAACCAGCAAGGAACTTTAGCTTCAGTTCAGACAGAGCTTACAGTGGATATTCATCAAGAAGTTTGGTGAGGCCTGTAATCCCAGCACTTTGGGAGGCTGAGGTTAAAGGATCACCCGAGTCTAGGGGTTGGAGACCAGCCTGGGCAACACAGCAAGATTCTGTCTTTCCAAACATTTAAACATTTGCTGGGCATGCTGATATGTGCCTGTACTCCCAGATGCTTGGGGACTGAGGCTGGAGGATTGCTGCTGTCCAGGCATTCAAGGCTGTAATGAGCTGTGATGGTGCCACTGCATTCTGCGGATTAGTGTACAGGTTTTACACATATTAACTCATATATTACTGAAAACGTCCTACAAAGTAGGACCTTTAGAAAATCCTGCCTGTATTGGGGAAACTGAGGAGGGGAAGTTCAAGTAGTGAATCTAATGTCACACTGTTGGCTGGGTAAAGTGATTCACTCCTGTACATCAGCAGTTTGGGAGGCCAAGGCAAGAGGATCTTTTGGACCTAGGAGCTCTAGACTAACTTGGGCAACAACAAGAGACTCTGACTCTCCACAAACATAAAATATGAGCTGGTTCTGTGATGCGGACCCGTAGTCTCAGCTACTTAGGGGGCTGAGGTGAGAGGATTGCTGGAGCCCTGCAGGTTGAGGCTGTAGTGAGTGAGCAGAGATGGGCTCACTGCACTCAAGTCTGGGGAATATAATAAGACCCCATCTTAAGAATAGTGTTCAAAAAATGTTAACCTCTCACTTCTAGCAGAAGGCAGAATCAAGGAGAAAATTGAGGCAGCCCAGTTTCTGAAGCTCTGCTTTTAAGTATGTATTCAAGAATACAGGGTTCTGATTGTGGTAAGGTGGGAGAGGGGAGGCCTCAGGGTCTACCCTTCAACATCTAACCAACTGCCTAAAGGGAATCTGTTATAGCAGGGGAGCATGGCCTGGTGCCTCTCACTCAGTCTCAATTTTCTGGCAGGTGCCATACACACAGGCTGTGTCCCTGCATAGTGGTACTTCTGTGACAATCCAAGGGAAACCTGTCCAACCTTTCATGTGAGTATTTTTGTGTCCAAGGGTGGTGGGGTGGAGAAGGGAGAATATTTGCTCAGGGGGTGACCTCATGTGAGTGACGCAGAAATGTCTAGCTGGCAGGATGGAGGCACCATGCAGGTGCAGGTCCTAGAGACCCTCCAGCACCTGGCGAGAAACCTGACATGGCTGCACCGTGGGCCAGTCACGAGGCCTAGGGGAGGAGGACAGGCAGTGGTTGAGATTGTGGCTCCTTACCTATAAAGGGCCACAAAATTTTCATGGGGTGGACACTCATAAGGTTAGTGACTGTAGTTCAGTTTCTGTCTGGGAGTCAGGGGCAGAGCATCTTCTCCCACCCTTCCCTAGGGCAGAAGGAAGCAGCCCCACAGAGAGGAAGCCTGCATTATCACCAGGAAGGCTTCTGTCTGCCCTGGAGAAAAATGGGAAGGATTTGTGGGTATGTTGTGTGCGTACGCAACAAGACAGGGAGCTGCTCAACACACTGTGTGCTTTCTCTTCAGCAATGAACCACAGCTACAGGTGGATTTCCACACTGCGATGGATGATGTCTCAGACATTGCTTTCCATTTCCAAGTGTACTTTGGCCGTTATGTGGTCATGAACAGCCGTGAGAATGGGGCCTGGAAGCAGGAAGTGAAATGCAACAATATGCCCTTTGAGGATGGCAAAGACTTTGAGCTGTGCATCTCAGTGGTGGACAATGGGTACCAGGTGAGTGCCCAAGGAGCTCCCAGCACCTGGCCTCCATGGGCTCCCAGAGCAAGAGACAGCTCTCCCCGTCCTCCAAGAAACTCTTGGAGCCTATCTCCCATAACTACCTCTGTCTCAAGCTTTTCCTCACACACAGAGGGGATACTTAACTTTTGTAATTTTCCTCTCTCTTTCAACAAGTGTTGTTGCGTGCACTGCCATCATCTCTGCTTGCACTGCCATCCACAGCTCCTTCCCAAATCTGACCAGGGTCAAGGGTGGCTCACCTACCATTTCCTCCATGGTGGAGAATCTCCTCTTCAACCACAGTTCTCATTTCCACTTATGCTATTATTTCAATTTTCATGTAGCTAAATGAATAAAATTGTTTTAGTCAGTCCAATATGAAGACTTTGTTACTCCTGATGCCAGAGTCTCAGAAGAATATTACTAGCTTCTCTACTCTTCTTCTAAAGATAGTCTATGCTTATGGGCGCATATATATACACACACATATATATTTTCATTTCTTTTAAACCGATGCTGGCATAGATTTCTCTACACATAACACTTCAAGAACTACAGTTATTTGTACCCAAAGTATATACCTTGAAGAAATCATCTATCCACGGTGCTGTCTCATTTTTTAAGGATTGCATATTATTCCCCTCAAAAAATTACCAAAAATTGTTGAATATGATCTTTACAAAAGCACTGAGGTTTTTTTCCAATGTTTTGCTCTCACAAGGGATGCTGTATTAAGCTTCTTAATGATTAGAAACCTTTTATCATTATCAACCTCCCAATACTTACATTGGAAGGTAATTACAAACAAATGGAATAACCCATTCAAAATCGTTTGCTTTAAATTAGAGAATACAACTTAGAAGAGGACTTCCTATAGAGCCTCAGTAATGAAAAATGTGATCAAACTTTCTAACATTTCAAAGTGTATGCTAAAGGATTCACATTTTATTCAGATTGAAGTCAGGGATTTTTCCCCCTATGTTTATAAGATGTTAAAGGTGATATCTAATGCTTTGCAACATCTGTGCATTTCCATCTCTCTGAGAACACTTGGGTTTTATTCTGACACCACCAGCTGAGATCTGGGCTACTCCAAAGAGAAGCTGGGCTATGAGAAATGAATGTGAGTCAGTTCACGTAACTGAAATGTATGCATTCAATGAAAACTGTCGAGCACTAACCCCGTGGCAGGCCCTGTGCATGATGATGAGATTCAAGTTTATGAGACACAGTACCTGACCATGGGGATCTTCCAGGATAGACAGAAGACCAAACAAACACATATGACACAGAGTGGTAGAACCTCTCTGGAGAATGAGAGGAAATGCTGAAAATGTAGTGAGCAACTATCTCAAATAATCACAAAAGGTGGTCTGTAAAAAGAAGTGTGTCTACTCGCTTCAGATGTATAATTAGGTATTTTCTGTTTGCATGTTGCAGGTACTACGACATAGCAGAGAGCAGGTTGAAAGCTTGTTTAGTGAAATACTGTCTTTCTAATGCATGTTTCCTCTTCTAGGTAAAGGTCCATGGCCAGTGCTATTACACCTTTGACCATCGACTCCCACAAGGGTCTGTGAAGATGTTACAAGTGTGGAGAGATTGCTCCCTTACCTCAGTGAGTGTCCAGAATCAAGGGTGATAGCCAGGCTCTTCACTTTCAAAAAAATTCCTGTTTCTCTTCGGCCATGGATTCCCAGAGCTGGCTAACAACATGATCTGTCCTCACTTCAATTCTTACACTTGCTCATTAAAACTTCATCAAGCTTTACAGAATTTGCTTCTTTCTTTCAGGGGGAAAAAGAAAGTGGTCTTTACTAAGAGGGCCTCAGGGATTCTATGGGTGGCATGAAGGAGTCAAAGGGAATAAATCTTCCCGGCACAGAAGCAGTGAGTGACAAGTCCACTGAAATACCTGAGAAGACATTAGGAATAACACCCTTCTACAGCATGGACTTTATGTCAGACACTGAACTAAAATTGCTACCCAATTTCAGATGAGTCACTGCACTGAAATGTCCAGTAGCTGTGTTTTCAGCCACACAGGGATAAGCGATGGGATTGGAGGCTTGAATAACTGAGCCATGACAGGGCTGGCGAGGCTGTGTCTGAGCTGAGCAGGGCTGTGTAGGAGCCCCGCTCTCTACACTGAAAGCAGAGGGGCGGGAAACCTTGAGGGCTCCCATTCTCCCACCTGAACCCAAAGTGTCACATATTCCTCCACTTAACCAGGAAAAGAAAAACAAGAAGAAAACTGCTTGTGAAGGAAACTCATATGCTTTTTTCCCTAAGTTCCAGAAAAAGGCATATACAGTATCACTTCTGGAAAGGCAAATCCCACATGTACAAATCTGATTTATTCATTTAAAGAGTGTTCATGGATGAACAAGCCCTTCTCCCATCTTTCTGCAGACTGAGAAAGGGAAAAGTCATTTCACAGAGGAGCAGCTGTAGGCTCAAACAATGAACAGAGTAGTCATTACTTTGCAGAGTGTAAATCTTTGGAGGTCACTACTTTAAGAGTGTAAATCTTGTACAGGGATGAATGCAAGGCAAATCCTTTGATCAGAGCACACAACACTGGTTCTCACTGACGGTCTCCCTGCAGCCATCATTCTTCTCCACCCACAGACACAAGGTTAGGACACCTTTACTGCGACCCCTGCAGTATTCTCACTGCCTCTCTTCCCACTGTTGCTGCATCTCAGAAGACAACAACTGATGATCCAGCCCTCTTTTAAGAGTTATTTTATCCCTGGAGTGTCTCCTTTGGCGAGATTTCTGGGTCAGCCCCTTCCACCTGAGTTGCTCTAAAGACATTAATTTTCAGAGGGTCTTGATTCCTGTCTTCCCAATAAGTCTCTTTGTTTATTCTAGACAATTTTTCTATTCACCAGTCAGAAAGGGAGACATCTGCTTTACATTTCAGGGAGTCCAGAGTCTTTCTGGGGACTCTCCTTAAAAAACAAAGGAAATTATCATCCTGAAGAGACTGGGACAATTTTGTATAGAAGGCAGTGCTTGCCACAGTCTCAAGCTAGAAACCATCAATGTCCATCAAGAGTAAAACTGCTGAGTATGTGTTGGCAGATTCATAAAATGCAGGAGTGGAGATCAATGAAAAGGAAGGAACTACAGCTGCACAAAGCAATATGAATGACTCCTAAAAATGAAACGTGAACAAAAGATGCATGATCCAAAAAAAGCCCTCCAAGACAAAGCATATAATATGTTTAAGTAGTTTATGACCTTTGTAAAAGATAATTGGGAAGCAGCTTTCTACATATGGATTTAGACATGTCTCTAAGTTACTACGGTAAGTAAAAAATGAAGGCATGAACTAGTGTATATATATTATATACATAATGTAACTGTATATTGTATACACTATAAACCTGTGTGCATGTATATATAAACACACACACACACATATATGTGTATGTGTGTGTGTGTATAGTCGATTATCACATATCCAGTAGGCTCTCTCTATAAAATATACGGAGGGGAAATAACCTATACTCACATTTGCCTTTTATAGTATGACAACATTTTGGAAGAAAACAACAAATTAACAACTGCAATTACCTTGGGGGTTGTAGTGGAATAGACAAGAAATAGTTTAGCTATATTTTGCACCTTTTCTCTTTTGAGCTTTGTGAAGGCATTATCTATACAAATCCTTAAAAATAAAAACTAAAAGCTACGCAAAAGCATACCAATCCCTTACTTCAGATGTTCCTGAAAACACTTTAACACATAATATATGCAATATATATTTACTATTTTGATTTTATCTGTCATTTGAAATACCTTGAGGAAACAAAATTAATCTTTCACTAATTAGCCTTTATTGACTATGACACAAAGGGATTACAAACTCTAAAGTTTCAAAAGTTCTTCGATAGTCTTCCAGTCTTAATTTTAAAACGTAAGTTTAGCAAATTGGGTCATCTTGTTCTTGCTTTCATCCTCTTGGTTAATACCCGTGGGCCCTAGTATTGACACGTTGCTCAAACTTTCTTGCAATACCAACTTTTTCAGTGAGGCAAACATCAAAGACACTTTCCACAATGCCAGGACAAAAAATCTCCATCAAGCAGGATTTTAGTAAAAACAGGCTTCAAAAGACCCCACGATTCATTGTATTTCTTTTCCCTTGTTTCTTCATGATACTCTCCCTTTTTTTCAACTATGCAACAATTGCTCTCTTTTCCTTACAATTAAACATCTTATTTTCCACAATAAACAAGTTTTAGTTATAGGACTGGCAAATAATTATTCCTCAAACAAGCCCCAAAAAGAATGGCAGGGTTCTCTAAAGGTAGCTGCCCCTCTTTCGGTGTAAAGGTCACCAGTATTCCCCGTCTTTCAACCTATGGCAGCTGAGTTCTGAAGCCAGACGACCTAGCGCCACAGAGGCAAGAGATCTTGGATATATACAAAATAATTCCGATGGACGCTGGGCTAACGCGCTTGCGAGCTGGCATCATGGGCTCCGTCTCTCCCGCCCCACACGTCCACAACCACCCAGCTGGCTTCGTCAAACCCTCTTACCCGGCTGATCCAAGCCTAAGCTGCGCTTGGCCGAAGTCAGACTAGAGGGCTTCGGGATCCAGCTGGGATCGTGGGAGGGCAGCCGGGCCGGAGCCGCACTCACTCGGAGTCGGGGCTCGGGGTCTATCCCCGGTGCGGCCCAGATCCCGCCTACAGCCGCCTACCTCTGCCTGAGGAATGTCGCTGCGGCCATTCGTCGCGCCCGTCTGTCTGCCACTGCTATTTGCCTGCAGGTCTCACATCTCGGACCGCCAGGTTACCTGAGACGCTCGGGAACACCGGAACAACACGAGCGCGCAGTTGCGCGGGTGCGCACTGAAAGGCATGTGCATGCGCATGCGCATGCGTATTTCTGTGGGTGCGCTTGCTTATTCACAGGCGCGTGCGCTCCTGAACGTGCGTGGGGACGCGCAAGTGTGTCTTCAACCTCCTGCGCCCAAACGGAGGTGAACTTCTGGAAAGACTCCATATATGGAGTCTGAGGCTACAGGTGCAGACTAGACAGAGAAGGTAATGGGGCAGGAGTAAGGGCTCCAGAGCTTTGGAACCATTTTCCTGCAGCTTTCATGTGCCTTCAGAGCCTGCTTAAGCCTGATCTCACATAGACCATTTCTAGTTGACAATGGAGAGCTGCTGTGAATGTCTAACTTTTTAGCTGCTTGGTCTGACCCACCTGGCCAGGTCTTGTCCAGTAGCCAGGTCTCATAGTAAATTGGAGGCCATTGGTAAGCATTCAGCCTCTGCTAAGGCCCAGTAACAAGACAAATGCTTTTTCCCAAAAGCTGAGCAGTTATCCACAAGGATGGTATGGCTTTGCTCTAAAATCTTAAGGGTCTGTACTGTGATTCACGTATGGGACCCTGCCAAAGTTTCTAAGAGCATCTCTACCTGCCACTGCCACTTCAAGCGCCATTCTTCCTGCTGAATCCCAGGCCAGAGAAACGTGCATGACAGCCTGGGTCTGTCTGGTGCACAGCTTTCTCTTATTCTGGGCCCCACACAAAACTAACAGCTTTTAAAAAATACGGTGTATATGGGTGAATGGAATGTACTCAAGTGAGGTATGTACAGCATCCAAAATTCAAAGAGTCTGACTAGGCACGTGTCCCTAGTCAGGAGGGGCCTTATGCAAAGACTCCACCTGCATATGAGAAGGGACATCTTTAGATGCCCCAGTCACTTGGAGTCCTTGAAATTTCAGAAAATGGGAAATACCCTGAATTTTTCTGGTATTTATTCCTGACTGACGCACACAAGTGTCTAACCAGTGTGTCTAACATCATGGCCACCTCCTGATCACCAGGTCTCATCAGCATAATATCATCAGTATAAAGGATCAGCGTGTTGTCTTCTGGAAAAAAGAAGTGAACGTAATGTCTTGCCTTGCAAGATGGCAGAATAGAAGGCTCCACCAATCTTACCCCCACCCCTCAGGACATAAATTTAACAAGTATCTACAGAGGAAAAACACCTCCATAAGAACCACAAAGCAGGTGAGTCCTCATAGATACCTGGTTATAACTCCATATCACTGAAAGAGGCACCGAAGGGATGGAGCAAACAGACTTGAATTGCTAATGCCACTCCTTCATCCAGGCAGTAGTGGTGTGGTGCTTTTGAAAAGTGTCTTTTCCTGTCCTTTGTCTACTTTTTTTTTTGAGACAGCGTCTCATTCTGACACCTAGGCTGAAGTGCAGTGGTGCAAACTGGGCTCAGGCGATCCTCCCAGCTCAGCCTCCTAGTAGCTGGGATTACAGGTGTGTGTGTGTGAGAACACCCAGCTAATTTTTCTATTTTTCGTAGGAACAGGGTTTTGCCATGTTACCCAGACTGGTCTTGAACTCCTGGGCTCAAGCCATCCGATTGCCTCAGCCACCCAAACTGCTGGAATTACAGGCGTGGGCCACTGTGCCCATTCCTTTGCCCACCTTTTTATGGGTTTTTTTTTCTTGAAAAGTTGTTAAAATTCTTTATAGATGCTAGATATTAGACCATTTTCAGATAAATCATTTGCAAATGTCGTCTCCCATTCTGTAGGTTGTCTGTTGTCTCTGTTGATAGTTTCCATTGCTGCGCAGAAGCTCTTTAATTTAAATAGATCCATTTGTCAATTTTTGTTTTTCTTGTTACTGCTTTTGGCATTTTTGTCATGAAACTTTTGCCCATTCCTATATTCAGAATGGTATTGCCTGGGTAGTCTTCCAGGTTTCTTATAGT